TGCAGGAGATGCAAATCCAGGCATGGAGTCCAGGAAAGGGGTGAATGAAGTTAGATACCAGTAACTAGGTATTGGTAGGAGTTTGTTGAAACCAAGAGTGCTAATGAAATAATTAATAGCTTTTGACCCCGCTGTTAGCTGTCACTCTGTCATGTGGGAACCCTTGAATAATAGGGAAGAACATTCTTTGCTAGAAGGTAGAAATAACCCCCAAGATCCCAGAACCACAACCATCTGAATTCTCCAGCTATGCACTTGGCAGCAGCTGAACAACAGAATCCACAGAGAACACATGTTTTGTCTTGTAGATCCAACTGTCCTTGCCCAAAATTCTCAGTGTCTGTACAAAGGCTATAGAATATCTGACATATGGCTGGTTTAGGAATTTTTATTTTTCTCAATAATTTGATCAGATCTGCATGTGATCCATGTGATTGCTTATCACAATCAACTGTAAATTTAGCAAATATTTAACAAAAATCTAAAAAGCTTGCATAAACGAGTTAGATGAGCTATGACTATGGACTTGGAAACAGATGCATGAATTCTTTCTGAAGTTTTCTCTTTGAGATTTCCTTTAGTTCTCTCTCCTGGGGAAACTGGTTTGACTATGTAATTCAATGTGAAATTCCTCTACAGTTTGTTTTGGCTCCTTAAATGTTAGGGAATGTGAAAGTGTCAGACTGGCCCTTGCCAAGTGGTCTCCAGGGTATATATCAAGACCCAGTGAATCGCTTTGGTCACTTTGATTTTTCTGGATTCTTTTAGATTTATTCATTATTTCATTTCCCAAGGTTTAACACTGCATAAGGCAAGCAGAATTTAACGTGTTTTAAGCCTTTGATTATCTAAAGCGTCTAAAGATCATCCTTAGTTATAATGGCAAAGTCTATTTTCTTGTGTGGAAAAAGATTGATACGCTTTTTCTTTATTTGCAAAATGATATCCTAGTGTCTGTACATGGCAGCTGGCTGTATGAGTTGTTGAGATTTCTTTTACCAATAATTGTTTTTAAAAATCACAAGAGTGATGAAGTCTTAAAACTTTCAAACTGCCTTAGGAGACTATTGCTAAGATTTATTTCAGATAATGTATTGCCTATGTTTTATTCAAAGAGATTTATAGTGTTTTGTCTTATGTTTAAGTCTTTAAGCCATTTTGAGTTTATTTTTGTGTATGGTGTGAGGAGTATTCTAACTTCATTGATTTACATGCAGCTGTCCAGTTATCCCAACACCATTTGCTGAAGAGACTTGTCTTTACTCCATTGTATGTTCTTGCCTCCTTTGTCAAAGATTAATTGACCAAAAGTTTGTGGGTTTATTTCTGGGCTCTCTATTCTGTTCTGTTGATCCGTATGTCAGTTTTTGTACCAATACCATGCTGTTTGATTACTGTAGCTCTGTAGTATTATCTGAAGTCTGGGAGGGTTATTCCTCCAATTTCATTCTTTTTCTTCAATATTACTTTGGCAATTCTAGGTCTTTTATGATTCCATATAAATTTTAGGATTATTTGTTCTAGTTCTGTGAAAAATGTCCTGGGTAATCTGACAGGGATTGTATTAAATCTGTAGATTGCTTTGGGTAGTATGGCCATTTTTACAATATTAATTTTTCCAATCCAAGAACATGGGATATCTTTCCATTTCTTTAAGTCATATTTAATTTCCTTAATCAGTGTTTTATGGTTGTGGTATATTTATACAATGGAATACTACTCAGCCATAAAAAAGAATAAAATAGGGCCATTTGCAGCAACTTGGATGGACCTAGAGTTCATCATTCTAAGTGGAGTAAGCCAGAAAGAGGAAGAAAAATACTGTATGATATAACTTATATGTGGAATCTTAAAAAAAAAAAGACAAATGAACTTATTTACAAAACAGAAACAGACTCACAGACATAGAAAACAAACTTGTGGTTACCACTGGGGGATGGGGGTGGGATGGGATAAATTGGGAGTTTGAGATTTACAGATACTAACTACTATATATAAAATAGATAAACAACAAATTCATACTGTATAGCACAGGGAACTGAATTCAATATCTTGTAGTAACTTATGCTGAAAAAGAATATGAAAGTGAATGTATATATGTTCATGTATGACTGAAGCATTGTGCTGTACACCAGAAATTGACACAACATTGTAAACTGACTATACTTCACTAAAAAATATATATATATATATGTATGTATGTATGTGTATATATATATATATATATATACATACAACAAACTAAAAAAAA